ATTGAAAAGTAACAAGTAGTGCAATCCAGCGACCCCAATCATCAGTTTAAAAGTTGATGATCAATGGTTTTAAAGGTCTGTTGCAATGAGGTCAGTGCCTACGAGTGCATTAGAAAGCAAACCTGTACGCCAGATTGCATCTTTCAGGAGATTCATTGTGGTTTAGCTAAAAAATTACAAAGAAGATGCACTGTGTGTTTTCTCTATACACTTGCGAATGTCTGATGCATGTGATTTTATTTTGTTGCAGATGATAACCTAGTTGCACAGAGGACACCAAAATATATCATGGGTATAGCAGCTGGAATCTGGATTGTAAGCTTTAAATGTAAGCTAATGATTATTATACTGTACTTGGATGAACTTCACGGTGCAAAACACATGAATTTTGCTCATGTTTACCTAGCTCAAGCACCACGATCCACAGTGGGCCAGAATGGGATGAAAGTGCGCCAAAAATAGAAATCATTAAGTCTTGTGCAGGAAGGTTCACCTAACTAGGTTTTCCGACCCGTAGAATCCAATGGTGAAAGTTACATCAGAGTATGACGTCAGCAAAATACCGATTTTTGATTGGTCTTGATGTAATGGACTGTATTTTGCGGTAAAATTGTGACAAATTATTGCTTGTCAGTAAAAAAAAAAATTAGAACAAACAGGGGAAATTGCTAACATCGTTGTTTTTTTACGATAAAATATGCTAAATTTTAACTTCATATGTCATGACGTCATCTGAAACAGATGTTCTATTGATGGTTGCGTCATGTTCAGTTGTGAAGGAATGTACAAACATTTACTTTTACTTTTTGATATATACATACACAGAACAACCCCGTTATCGAAACTTTAATAGACATGAAAAGGACTTTTACTCACAAGCTATGAAGTGTCACTATCCGATGACTCACTACCTTGATCCTGATCAGGTCTGTCACTCTCAGAAGATAGGCACAGTTCAGGATTGGTTGTCATGTCTACAACTTCTTGAGGAAGAGGTCTTGATTTTCTCCTGCGATACACAGACCTGCTGCTGACCACAATATCACCTGTCACCATAAGCCTGTGAAAGACGTCACTCATGGTATGAACTCTAGATGTTTTCCTTGCATGTCTTAGGCGGAACATCTTGTTATCTTTGTTTCTTGCCTCTTGAGCTTCTTCGCTCATCATCCCGATTGGGAGGACTGAGGAGGACATAATGTCTGCTCCGTGGATAAGTACCACATGAACACTAACTGGCATTCTGAACCAGGGATACAGCTGGATGTATAGATTTGCTGTGTCCTTACAATATGACCCGAACTTTTTGTGGTCTATGGGTAGACCACAAGACAATGCAATGAGAATGACGTGGAGTTTGTCAACGAGGCTCTCATCCAGTCCACAGATTGAAGAGAAGATCTTCTCTGCTTGAAATGCTCTGCGAGCTGTATTCCCGTCATTAGTGCTCCCAGCTCCTGGCTTTGGTTTATCCACTGTCAATCCAAGTTCTACTTTGAAACGTTCTTATATCTCATCCTTTCTGTTTTTCATCACTGCTTTGTCGTGATCAGACTGCACTTGCCATTTCTTCAGTGAAAATCTGTAAGCAATGTGAAGCAGCATTTCAAAACAACGTATCCATTTATGGAGTGGGCATAAACCGAATCTGTATTTATCTTCGACCGGTTGCGGTAGCTGATCGATGTTATTGAAGTCTTTGGGGGTTGCCTGAGATACCGTCAGGGTAACATTTTTGTTTGGCTTCTCTAACCACGTTGTATGGGGGATAGATGTCTGCATGCTTATCTTTAGCAGAAGTCCTCAATGTTTGATAAGAAGATTTGGTCATCCCAGTCTCTATCAAAAGAGCTAATGCCTCATCTGATGTGAAAGGTTCTGGGTCGGTAGATCCCTTTGAGATTAGTGTTCTCAGCTTTGTTGGTTTGGTTGGAGTCATTATTGTAAACTTTAAAACATACTTCAAATCAGGGTTTTTCCATACGCCCCCTGAGAAGCTGCAAAGAGCAGTTCGCTTTGTCTTCGCTCTTGAAGGAGTGTCTGTGCTTTCCTCTGCTTGGTGCGCTTAGACGAAGACAACCAGTCTTTTTTTGGACGACCCTTTGACGTACTAGGCTCGGATGATGTGGCATCCTAAACGAATGTTACCGTTCGTTTTGTTCCTCTTCTTGAGAGCCAGTTATCCACTTTAGTGTCAAAACACAACTCTCCTTTCAGCCAGTCTGTGTTTTTACGCTCAAAACTCTTTTTGTTTCGGCTGCTTTCTGCCCATTTCCTCCTCAGTTTGTAAAGGAAATCCCAAATGCTTTTCATCACTGACTGACGAATCTCCTCTGGAATATCACATTGTGGAACATTGAACACATCCATAAATAATTCTAAGCAACCACGGCAAGAGTTTTCAATGTTTGATGCATCATCAACAGAAGTGACAACTTCAAATAACCGCTTTCTTGGTAAAGACGGCATAGTGCACTGTGGCACAGCTTACAGATACATATTTAAAGACGACTAACGGCAGTACTACTCATCACAACATATCGTCACCGTTTTCACGAACAGCCACACACTACCCAACAAACATTAGGTAATTGGCCCAGTACCGACTTCATTCAGGCTTGTACCGGCAGTACCGTAACGGTAATACCGGTATTATGCCGATACATCACCATTTCTGGTTTCATAACTTTGTTCGGTACCCACCCGTTACAAACAAATCGGCTCCGATCCTGAAATGGGCCAGTTAAGGCAAAACGTTTTATGACAGAGCACGTATTGGCCCGATACCTGTCCACTGTCTACTTGTAGTAACGGACCGTAACTAAAAGAGAATACTGGACCTGTTTTTGACCATTTGAAGTGCGGTATTGGCCCTGTATAGTTTGCTCAGTACCTGACCGTTAAAAAAAAATAGGCTCCGGTCCTGAAATGGGCCGGTAACACGAAACTTTTTTTGGCAGAGCAATATTGGCCCGATACCTTGCCATATCTACTTTTAGTAACGGCCCGTAACTGAAAGCGAATACTGGACCTGTTTTTGACCATTTGTAGTACGGTATTGGCCCTGTGTAGTTTAATTAATCCGCTCGGTACCTGACCGTTAAAAAAAAATAGGCTCCGATCCTGAAATGGGCCGGTAACACGAAACTTTTTTTGGCAGAGCAATATTGGCCCGATACCTTGCCATATCTACTGTTAACGGCCCGTAACTGAAAGAGAATACTGGACCTGTTTTTGACCATTTGTAGTACGGTATTGGCCCTGTGTAGTTTAATTAATCCGCTCGGTACCTGGCCATTAAAACAAAATAGGCTCCGATCCTGAAATGGGCCGGTAATACGAAACGTTTTTTTGGCAGAGCACGTATTGGCCCGATACCTGTCCACTGTCTACTTGTAGTAACGGCCCGTGATTGAAAGCGAATACGGGACCTGTTTGTAACCATTTGTAGCACTGTATCAGCCCTGTATAGTTTAATTAATCCGATCGGTACCTGGCCCAATACCTTGCCATGTCTACTTTATAACGGCCCATTAGTAAAAGAGAATACTGGACCTGTTTTTGAGCATTTGTAGTACGGTTTGGGCCCTGTATATTAATTAATATCCGCTCGGTACATGGCTCAGATCCTGAATTGGGCAACTTAAGGCGTAACAGAGCAGTACCTAGTGTGGTGCCGTACGCACTTCGCACAGCAGCTGGCAGCGATCCCTACTAAAGTACACAAAGTTTCAGCTTTAGGTTTCGGACTTAATTTGCGCTTTTTTTGTAAATGCTTTGTTTAATCCGAACACCGGCATAATTTTGTTTTTGACTGCTGCTGATTTTTGACTGCTGATGAATTGTCAATTACGTTGTACATTGTTATTGGGGAAAAGTATAGCATGGCGACAATGTGTAAGCCAATTGTCCCCTGCTGATCTCTATTATAGCGCTTCGGCCATGCATGTGCGTCACGGTACTGTGCACAAGACCGTGACGCGCTCGCACACTCGCGGTGGCCATTTTGAAGCTCCCTCAAAAGCCCCACAACGCACGGATCCGTATATAAAAGCACATAATTACAATAGTTAAGAAAGCAATTTTGGATCATCAAACACGTTTTTATTTATTCATTTTGTCCACACTGTTATTATATTGTACTCATATTAATATTTGTTCAAAAATATAATTATATTTGATGAATTTGCATACACTTTTACGTGGCCAAAGGGAGTGTCAAAATGGCGTCCAGTGACTTAAACCCCAATCACGATCCCGAATCCAGTCAGTATAATAGAGATCGGTGGTGGCCGCGCCGGCGCGGCGATTGATGATCGGCAAGCGGTCTTTGCACTATTATTCTGGACTATACCATTATATTTAGCTTAAGGGTTACTTAATATCTAATTAGGTTGATACGTTCAGCTCACATTTACATTATAACTATAATGATGTTCCCACTTTAACTGAGATGAAGTTTCATTTTTTGTAAGGAAATAGTGCAAACATAATCTAAAAGAATTCTGTACATTTGTGTTCCAAGTTTTCCGTTTTCGATCTTTCAACTGATCCCCATATTTCGAGGTTGACTGATCTCGCTCTTGCAGCTGCACTTTCTGTAAACATAACGGCGACAGTAATTAGCCCGGTTTTGGAACGGTTACCGTCGCCGTTATGTTTACAGAAAGTGTGGCAATCACGCGCGGTCAGCCGACAGCTAATTTGCATAGATAGCGTGGGTCAGAAAAATGGGCTGGTGTGATATTAAATCGGACCCCTGTCGTAATCCGACACCGCTGCTCTTTATTGGTTAAACCCAGTCACGTGATCAGTCAGTCGCCTAATGGACATGCGCTATACTACAAGTGAGTCCGTATCATCGAGTCCGAAATTCACGCTACACCTGAGGATTAAGTAGTACAGTGTGTACGTACGTACGTACGTACATATCATGTACGGATGATACAGCTAGCTAGCTAGCTGCGAGCTGCATGCAGTATGCAGTACTATAAGCATGATAAGCACGCACCGGCCGGACACGCAAAGCAACGTCTGGCGCTAGGCTGGCTGCCCTCACTGCTGCTGACGTCTGAAACGCTGCAACTTCAACTCATTTGATCCATGTGATCTGGGCTCATATACCAAATAATTGCAGTAAGTTTTATATTAAGTTACTCTCCAGTTGTAAATAATTTATAATCCAAATTTTACTGCGCTCACTGTGCACTTAAACCAGTTAAGCCTCAGGATATTTTTACTTGCGTTATTTCGGTAGGGTCTGGGGATAGGCCTAGGCCTACAAATAATTCACGGCCTGCCACGCGGCGGTAGGTCATGCTGCATGTTTATGCTTGTGTAGGCCTAGGCCTGTTATTAGCCTAAATTCATGACATGTTACAACCTTCCACGATTTTGCTAATCGGATTTCTTTGTTGTGAATAGCGTAAACTATTTTGTTGCACTAAAGGCCTAGGCCCCTGGCCTAGGGCTAGGCTAGGCCTACATTTTGGCCACCTTTCTCCACCATTAACAAAAGAAGAAAACAAATTAAATAATACTTTTTCATAGGCCTAACAACAATAAACAGTAATAAATCTTTTGCCTATTTGATTGAAAGTCTAACCTATTAATTAAATCATGGCCATGATGGCCGAGTAGGTGTTTTGACAAGGCAAAAACAATATTGTAGTACGAGGCCTAGAACTGAAACTTTTGTAGGCAATGGCATCTTATTGGACGAAGCGGCGGAGAGTAGTAAAACAGTTAAATGAGCACCTCCTTGATATTGAAAGATTTGAAGAGGAACAGAACTTAGATGAGTTACAAGAAGGAAGAGGACACGATGGCCTTGATCATTCTCTGGAAGAAATTGAATCAATTGGGGCAGAGCCATTGCAAGGCGTGGACTATGATTATGAGTCAGATTTTTCCTCAGATAATAAATCTGAAACAAGTTGTAGCTCAGATGTAAATTCCACAGGTTCCACTGATATTTCTGTGCATACGACTTGCTCAAATGACCTCAGCAAAGAACTTGGAATTTGGGCAATACAAAATAATGTCACACACAAAGCACTTGGTGAGCTACTAGGAGTTCTTAAGAAATATCACACAACACTACCAATAGATCCTCGAACAGTATTGTTGACAGGACAGAAGACAAATATGAAGAATATAAGAAATATAACTGGAGGGAAGTATTACCATTTTGGTATTTCACACGGTGTTGTTGCTTCTCTGAATTCGCTTCCCCATTTGCAGGAATCAAAAAAACTGCAACTTCAAGTAAACGTTGATGGCCTTCCCCTCTTCAAAAGTAGCAGCATGCAGTTTTGGCCCATCTTTGGTTTGGTTCATTTGTGTCAAACATCCATCAAATCTGAACCGTTTGTGATAGGCTTATTTTCAGGTAAAGGGAAGCCTAAAAATCCTGTGGAATTCTTGCGTGACTTTATTGATGAGTTCTCAAACATTCAAAGTAATGGGATACAGTACAGAGGGCAAGCTTATGAGGTGTCAATCTCAGCATTTGTTTGTGATACCCCTGCTAGGGCATTTGTCAAGCAGATAAAAGGACATTCTGGATACTCCGCTTGCGAAAAGTGCACAGTTCGTGGTGAGCATGCAGGGAAAATGAGCTTTCCTCAGTTAGATGCCCCATTGCGCACTGATGAGTCTTTCAGAAATCAGTTAGATGAAGACCACCACACTGGACCAAATCCATTAAGTGAGCTATCTTTTGGTATGGTTTCAAGATTTCCTCTGGATTACATGCACTTAGTGTGTTTAGGAGTAACCAGACGTCTTCTTCTGTACTGGATTAGAGGCCCCCTGAAATGTCGCCTTGGTCCCCTTCAAAGTGGACAGATATCTGAATCTCTCTTATCGGCAGCACCACATGTTCCCCACGAATTTGCAAGGAAACCACGTTCCCTCTCTGAAGTAGATAGGTGGAAGGCAACCGAATTTAGACTCTTCCTTTTATATACAGGACCAGTCATTTTGAAGGGAAAGCTACCAAAGGAAACATATGACAATTTCATGCTTTTGTCGATAGCTATAAGAGTGTTGCTAAATTCAGAATTAGATGCATCTCGTTGTGACTATGCTAAGTGTTTACTGACAAGTTTTGTTCAACATTACGCAGAGTTGTACGGTAAGGGAGAGGTTGTGTACAACGTTCATTGTCTTGTTCATCTTGCAGATGATGCAAAATTGCATGGGCCTCTAGACAGATTTGCAGCATTTCCCTTCGAGAATTACATGAGTACATTGAAAAAGATGGTAAGGAAGCCAAATGATGTGCTACAGCAAGTCATTCGTAGGTTTTCTGAGAGATGTGTTTTGAAGGATGACACTACATCCAGTGTAAAGGCCGATGACATCTTTCATCTCAAAAAGGAGCACAGTAGAGGGCCTCTTCCCTCTGGAAATGCATATCTGCCCTGTACTCAGTATAGAGATGCCACTGTCAGTAGGTTTGTCTTGAGCTCCAAGCAGCCTAATAATTGTGTGAAAATTGGGTCACATATCTGTCTCGTAAGAAACATATTAAGGTGTGAAGCAGAGGTCTATGTTTTGTACTCCCGTTTCTTGGTGCACGAGCCATTTTTTGTGTATCCATTGGATTCTACTGAGATCGGTATTTATAAGGTTTGCCATCTTAGTGATGATCTTCTTGTCACAAATATCAAGTCAGTGATAAAGTATGTTTTGCTTCCATGTGCAGATGATAAATATGTTGCCCTTGCCTTTGCACATGATACTTGAACCCAATGAAGCTGTTTCTATAGCTCTCCTGCTTTGGGAATCAGATTTGGCGATAACGCTTGCTGCTTTTTATTTTTCTCGCCCGAATTCCATATAGACAGGTAAAAAACAAAACTAAACAAACATGCAGCTTTTCCATGCTACTATCAATAGGCAAATACACACAGGGCCGGGTTATATTGAGGTTGCGTTATTATTCATGACATCATCTATACATGCACAGAACAAAACAAGAATTTCGTATGTTTACTAACCTCACCTATAAGCTACAAGTAGTAAACTGTAGTATGAAACAGCAAATAAATAAGTGTGCACAACGTTAACACTCATAGTATTACTAGTACTTAGTTCTTCATCCCAAAGTAATGGTTTGGACATTAGGGTTAAGTTTGGCAATTGTGATGATGAATCAATGATTGGCATTGAAAACAAATTTTACTTATTACAAATTCAAACTGAATTTCAGTATTAAAACCAAATGCTACAAGTAGTACAAATTATTTATTACAAATTCGAACTGAATTTCAGTACTAAAACAATACTCCAGCTAATACACTCAGCTAGCATGGCAAGCAATTTTTATTCTTTCTTTTTTCAAGAGCAAACATTTTGGAGCTTTGTTGGCCTTGGAGCAATGACTTAAACATATTTAAATCATTCTTCAAATTAGTCAAAGTCTGAGCTATAAATTTTGAGTAAAAATCTTTTTAAAATAGTGCATCTTGGTCTCTTCAAATTTTTTTTCACTCTGACATGTGAATTCTCTTTTGTATTTTTTGGGGGCGGGGGTAATGTGCTCATTTGGTTTATGTGCAACAGTGTGCCAGTTTTCTTTGATTTCAAATGACAAATCATCATTGATTTAATCTTTTGTTTTAACTCTGTAAAACAAGGAAGAGGGTAGGGGGGACACCACCAAATGTACATTTCAAAGAATATATGACATTGATTATCCTTGACTAATTAATCAAGAAGCACCAGATTATTAACCTGTAAACATAAAATTGTTATTTCGTCCATTGAATAGATATGTTCATCGTAGTTGTTTTCCCTGAAACTGAAGAGGTGGAACTCATTCCAGATAATTGGCTTCTTGAATCTCAAAACAAAGCACTATGGCCCCCATTTCGGTCGCTTGCAGCAATTTCGAAAGCAGTGAGGGATAAGCTGAAGCCAGACTTAATGACTTGGGAGAGTTTCCGCATTAGAGTGCTGTATCGCTGTGGTAAGTTCATGCTATTTATTTATTAATTTATTTCTTATTTTGACTGGGTTGGCTTGCCCATTCAGTGGAATCCACTGATCTCCCATGGGTCCCAGTAAAGAGAAGATAATGTGAAGAAATTACAGCTTTAGAGGTGGGAGGAAAAGCCCACGGAATCAAGTAGGGACTGAAAACCCAATCCACGTATTGACCCAGGCAGGATTCTAACCCGGGTCACAGCGGTGGAAGCGAGGAAAGTACCGCTACGCCAACCTGACTGCTAGACAGGCTGACCTTTTAACTAACAATTACAAATTGTTTGGAACTTTTATGACTAGTCTTCCAATGAGTGGTCGATCCCTTGATATGTAGAATAGCAGTTAAATATATGTCCATTATACAAGGCTTTGCCTCGCCCGCTACGTGGGGGAGGTGCCTTTACCGGTTGTTGCAGGCGGGTGGCTTTGCCAATTACTGTTGCTGCTAGAGTCGAGATCGATCAAGGCAGCTTTTCTGCCTGTCGCCCGCTCCATGGTTGCCTCAGCAACTCATGAACAACTTGTTAGCACACCCACTCACATACCCAAGTGTGGACCCACTATTGTCCCTTAACTCCTCATTCCCTCATTGGTTTTGTACATGTACATGCATTTCAATCATGGACGTTTGGTCAATCGTGGACCGTTTGTTTATGCCCTAACCCTATTGTCCGTATAGTCCAAGCTTGGCGTGGTATTTACACGTTACACCCAATCGTGAATATCTATACGGACGAGGACAATGCATGCTTTTTTTGTGTGTCCCTTGCCCTGTAATCACCTATGGATTAAGCACTAATAACACAATTATTTTTTTGTGCATGATGCCAAACTGATATGTGTGTTTTTCCTTTTTCATCAGAGACTTACGAAGAAGGGCATCGTAAAGCTAAGTTGGCAGAGGAGACTTCAGACCTACAAACAGAAGAAGAACTTGAGGACGGTCAAAAGAAGACTAGAAAGTAAGCATTTCCACAGATACATTTGTTGAAAAATGCCAAGCAGTTAAGCTAGGCAAAATCAATGGGATACCCCTAGCATTGCTTCAAGCTATTGGCCCAAGTCCATCATACTCCATCAAAATATAGTCACGCCAGGCATTTTGGACCAATTAAGTCCCCCAAAATCCACCAAAATGGAGGGGGGGGGGGGTGGAGTTTGATGAAGTTGGGGTGGTCAGGGTTAATCTCAATCATTGTAAATGACAAGTTTTAAGTTGACTTATCTATATTGGGCAGTTTGCACCATCATTATTTACATTAATTGTGCTCTTAAAACAAGAAACTGGTAATTTGTTTACTTGGCCTTAGAGGACTTTTTTTTCTTTTAAGTGTTAAAATCATGACTCAATCTATGATTGACACGACGCACATGCGCGCAGGGTTGTTACTATATTCATTGGCTCAGCTAGTTCACATGATATTTGAGCAAATTCAAAACATGACTCTGCAACTTTTTGAATGAAATAAAGATCCTACCGGTAGCAAATTTTGTTCTTAATTGGAATATCACTTAGTTAAAAATTCCTTGTGTTAGTTGTAAAGCAGCCGTCCCGAAATTTTGAGCTTCAAACACAAACAAAGGCACAACTGACAAATGATCGATCTACCCTATCTCTAATGTTGTTTATACCACTAGACGCCGCAGGCCAGTTCAGTGGACATCAAGTGATGAAGACAGCGATGGAGACAGCATCAAACAAATTCCGTCTTCAGCTGCGAAGGCAGCAAGACCTCTACCACCACCAAGACCCACGCCACCACCAAGACCTCAGCCACCACCAAGACCTCAGCCACCATCCGTTCCTACCCCTCCCAGTTCACTCGTTCACTCTTCTGGTGACAGGCAGCAGCAGAGGCAGCAGCAGGACCCCCTAATGACCACAGGTATGAAGCCCTAAAACAGTTCAACTGGTTAACCCTCAGAAAAGTGAGCTGTTTCGTTGCCATTAATTGCAAGTCAAGCTGTAGTGTGTAAAAGCACTCATTTTGTGTTGGCAGTTTTATTTGTGTCTCCTGTTCATGCAGTCTCAACACCAGGGGCATAAAGCAACCGGGAAAGAGGGAGCATAATTAGCAAACAGTCCCCTAGTTACCCAAGCCCTGGGCTTCCCACTGGATAATTTGTGAGTCCTATAAGTGACCAAGGTTAACAGGCGTAACAGAAATTCCCCCCCCCCCACGCAACAGCAAGGAAATGACCATTATTCCGATATATTTTTTGGGATGTTGATCTCTCCCGTTTTAGTTATTCAATCTTCTCACCTCCTAGCTGAATTCCTGATTCTCACTCCTTAAAAACATCCCTTTTCAAGTTCTCATTTCGACCTTCCACATTTTAATTGGTTTGTTCTATTAAAATATTGTCTTTATGAATAAATACTTTACACAGGTGCATCTAGAAGATCAAGTGGAGCAAGTGAAATTGGTGCAACTGTCACTCGTAAGTGCATTTCCCCTCATGTCTATAAAACTCCTGCTAGTGTAAGTACATACTTGTAGTTAATACATACATCAGTGCATATGCAAGGCATGCATCTGTGAAGCATACCAGATCCCAAAGAATCAATTTAAAATTGCAATGGCAATGAAAAAGTCAAAGAAGGGGATGGCCCCCCTCCCCTCCCCTCCCCCCCCCCCAAGTGCGTCCAGCTGTCCAGCTGCCCCCAAAATAAAATTATAATCAACTATTTTGCTTACTGCGAGGCAATTGTGCTTGTAAGATATCCTTTTTAATAATTAAACCCCAAAAAAATGAATGTACGTAGATCACAATATTTTTACCATGCTACAGCCTTATGAAATGTGCATAAATTAGTAGGAAAAAAAGGAGTGTCGAAGACCAGCCCCCCCCCCCTTCCCACACACACCAACGTTTGTTTATGGTGTAAATCGAAAATTTTCTTCTGTTCCTCTTCCCTTATTTTCCTTTGTTAGTAACCTAACTTTTTCAAAACAGCTCTCATTGGTTTTGTACACGTTTTCTAATCGAGGTCGTTCTCGATTTGGTCCCTGTCCTCGATTCACCAATGATGTTGCACGTGTGTGTCCTCGATTTACACCATAAACAAACTCACACACACTCTCCTACAAAAAAATCCTGGCTTTGCCACTGTCTGTAGTTTTTGGTTTGCTGATATAATATTCAAAAGTGAAGATAAGTCAGCTAAGTTCCCTTTGACACAAAGGTTGCTTAATTGCCCATCCCTTAATTATTACGTATATCTTTTATCTCTGTTGTAGCCCGGGCGATTTTGAAAGCAGTTTGTGAGGTCCAAGTAATGGCCAAGACTTTCTTGGAACAACAGGAATTGCAAAACAAACTTCTACACCAAATTTTGCGTAAGATTGGGGACACTTCCACAGCTGAGGACTTTACCCTGCCAGAAAACCTTCAACTGCCTCTGGGGAGCATCATTGAAGTGGAAAACATTGAAGAACAGCTGCAACAGCCTGACTTCAAGGCATCCCTGGTTTGTCTTTAATTTTTTTTGTATTTGATTTGAAGACATTAGCAGTGTTGTAACCAAGTCATTTCTTTTTTAAGTCGAGTCTCAAGTCAAAGAAATAGCAACTTGAGTTTGACTTGAGTCCTTGTCAGCTACTTAAGTCGCAACGACAGTATGACTTTATATTCAGAAACTGAAATAAGTAGGAAGGTCTGGAATGTCTCCCCTAATTAATACAAATCTCATTGTTATTGGACAAAAGTGCTATATGCTGTACCCAGACAATTGTTGTAGTGTTTGGCATTTTTCTTACAGCAGTTTAAAAGTAATGAAAATTACCTCTAATTAGAAATATTCCCCTTAGCTAATTTTAAGGTCCATGGTTATAACCGGCTATACTAAGATTTATCCACTTCAATATTATTCATAAATATCTTTCCAGACAAGAATGTATGTGCAAGAGCAAAAAAGCCTTAAATAACATAGTTGCATTATGTTTCTTTGATTGGGAAAAAAAATCTGAATTTGGCCACACATTTGTACATGTAGTTGACAATGGCATAGACAGGATTTCACAGTCTCTAATTAGTAAATTACTCACTTTTTAGTGTACCATCGTGGTAACTCACTAGCTTTTAAGTCATGTACATCTTAATTCATGTTTTCAAAACCATCTCCTCACTTTAATCAATTGACACAGGAGAACTACCTATCAAAGATAGGTGGCAGCGATTTGAAGGAAGTTGCTAGACGTATCATGACAAACGTTTTCAGCCACGAGGTCGCTTTGAAGTTCAACTGGGCGGGGAAGGTGGGATGGAAGGGTAATGGCGAGGTGAAAAGAGCTTTCAACAACCTGGCATTGTGTGCGTCTATCACAAGTAAGTACTATACTTGTTTACAAATAAACATATATTTTACAAGGTGACCCGGCCATATCAGGTTTATGTCTGTTGTAAAGCAAGGGAAGAATATCCGTGTACTGCACGAAAGGCTTCTGCACATGGCTGGCTGTAATGAGTAGAAATATCCAATATCTGCGAAATATGAAATTGCTTCAAATCTCTGTTAAACCCAACCGTGAGAAAGAGAAATGAACAAATTTAACATAATATAATGGTCAACACATAACTGTTGGGACTCATGCATTATCAGAGGTGAATCAAATATATATTCATTTCTGAGCACTTAAACTTACAGGTTGGGGTTCTTTCTGTGAGGCTCAAAGTGGGATGGTGCATAGTGTCCTCTTCTTTAAAAATCCTACTTCCCAAATTATGCTTTAATATATGCTTGTCCCAATCAACCTATCCCCCCCCCCCCACTACCAAAAACCTCCCCAAACCAAACAGATCGAACCAAACCAAAGCAACAGCATGCATTCATGTCACTGTCGTTCCAAAAGGTTTTATCAGGCTGCATGATGTGAAATGATAAATATAGACCATAGAGCTATATTAAATTACTAGAGCGCTCGACTCTTGTACAAAGTGATGCCTGCTGGGCGCATCCATGTTTGTGCACAAACCTATGGGGAAGCTCAAATTTTTGTACAGCTTTTTTACGGCTATTTGCATATCTGCGTTTGTATTCTATACAGGTGTGTTATCGAAGCTGGCGCCCAAAACTGCAAGCATGATCAGCAAATGAGCATTTCATTTTGTTCTACGCAAGCAGCGCAATACGTGCGCATCTCCGCTGCAGATGATAATTAGGCCAAAAAAAATAAAAATAAGTCGGTCTCTGTTCAAGGCGCGCGTCGATTTTAATCATGCGCGTCAACTTTTTTTTCTTCAAATTGTCCACGGTAGCTACAGCAGCGCCCTCTATTGCCGCACCTCCTCAAATTTTTGTACCAAGGAATGGGGAAATTGCACCAAGGCAAATGATGGAGGGCACCAAGGCAAATTATGGAGGTCCCCAATGTATATGAGAACACAACAAAAGCAAAATAGTACCCACCTTGTCTGTACAATCCAAGCTTCCAAAAAAAAAAAGCCCCCCAATTTTTTTTTTTGGCCTTACCATGATTTTTGTTAAAAACCGTTGTGACATGCTTTTAAAGTTGTTTGCGTACGTGCTACTTGCGTGTTGCAAGTAGAGTACACTTTCAAAATTCAATCTATCTTGCTGTACTAACACGCACATGAATTCAAAATGTCTGCGCCCAGGACGGCTTCAAAGCATCTCCACGCACAAGATTGAAGAGTTAGCGCTCTAGTAATATAGCTCTATGATGTAGACATACAAGTTGAAACTTTTGACATCCGTCACGTTTTGCTGTAATGTTGATTTAAATTTTGTTTCTTGTTATATCCATTCCTTTCAGAATCTGCAATGAAGAGTGTGAAAAACGCTTCCCAAAAAGATGTCCACAAGGAGGTCATGCTCTGGCTGAGGGGTGCCAGTGACCGAAACGGTGGGAGGAAGAGACGGGAAAGGGAAAATTAACAGGCTAGGTTTCGATTAGTATTGCATTGTTGTTTGCATGAAAAGCAAATGGTTGCCTCTTAAATGTAAATTTGTGTTTATTGCCAGTTTATTGCCGCATTGCAAGTTTATCTCCCAAAGTTATTCACTTTAGAATGGAACATTAACCTTAAAAACCCATTGGTTGTTAAATCATTTCTTTTAAACTTGGAATTATTTGCAGCCTGACAAATCAGGTCCACGTGCACAGACTATTTAATTGAGACCTTTTTCAGGGACAAATGCAGCATTTTATTTTCGTTGAAACAAAAATTCAAAATGAAAATTCAATAGGAGACCAAAAAATGTATTAAGCACATGGGACAGATGCAGGATTTTATTTTCATTGGAACAAAAATTCAAAATGCCAATTCGATAGGAGACCAAAAAAGATGTTTTAAGCACGGGTCGCACATCTTTAATGTCATGAATATTTAAGATATAGGCATCCTTAACATGTTAATTTAAACTTTTGTCTTTTTTTGCAACTGGTTTGCTGTGTTTTTAAAAAAAAAGAGAACGGTTGTCAAGTCAGTCACAATTTCTTAAGTCACCACAAGTCACAAAGAGTTAAGTTGTTTTTGTCCCATTTGGTGATATGTATGTGGCCTATTTTTGAGTAGTTTAATAAGGGTGTAGGTGGGGCCAGCTTGGTCAAAATGGTCTTCCCCCCCCCAAAAAAAAATAATAATAATAATAAACTGTTGAGTTGATTTTTGAAACAAAAAATGGGTCGAGCCCCTCCCCCCCCCCCCAAAGCCAAATCCAGGGTGCGCCACTGATTGACTTCACATGTGAATTGACATGTGGATTTACTTCTCGTGTGAATTGACTTAATTGTGATCACTCTTGGATTGACTTGTGGATTCCCTTGAGGACTGTGAATTGACTATAATTGTAAGTGTAAAAATTTCAAATTTAATCTACCTCAGTCTCAATTACCATGTGATTGCACATGTGATTGACTTCACATGTGTATTGACTCTTGGATCGACTTGTGGATTCCCTTGAGGATCGACATGTGACTTAAAGGGAAAATACAACATTTGCAAACATCAAAAAATAAAACTACCAAATCATTTTGAAAAAACCTTGCTGGACTGTTAGTGAAAGACAGTGTAAAGCATCCTGTAAAATCGTGGCACCTGGTGTACTGTCATTTTCAAGAAAAGTGGTATTTTTGTATCAATTTCCAACGCTGATCGACCGACCAGCGTTGGAAAAAAAATGGCTTTTTTTCAAATACTGGCCCCAGTTGACCATCACACTTGTTTGCAATCGATTACACACCTATGAACGGGTACAAGCCAGCTAGACTGGTTCCCTGACCTTACAATTCCCCAATGTATGTAAACTGCTCTGTTTCTTCTTAAATGGAGTCGGGGAACCAGACTACAGGAAAATGATTGTTTTTCTTGGTTTTTATAGCATTTTCGAACCCAAAACCTCAAAAAAGTCAGTGTAACTATATTTGCTATATATTTCCAACCCCCCAATTCCATCCATTTCTGAAAATTACAGCAAAAGCAAATGATGTATATTCCCTATAACATTTGGGAGGAAGAGAAGGGAAACTTAACGGGCTAGCTCAGTAGTAGGTTTTGAACGTTGTACTTTTGATTTTGAGTGGTAGGCCTATTATTTTTACAAAATTGTTTGCTTCAAAAGCAAATGCCCTTAAAATGGAAATTTGTGTTCATTTTTAATTGGCAAATTAATGTCAGATTGCAAGTTTATCACATTAAAGATGTATCCCCCATGCTAATTCAAGATTGACTCTAGCAATGATGTCACAGTTCAACACTTAACTTTAAACCCATTAACATTCAGTTATTGAATCATTTTTTTTTTAACCTTGGAATTATTTGCAGCCTGACAAATCAGGTCCATGTGCACAGACTTTAATTGAGACCTTTTCAGGGACCGTATGCAGGATTTTATTTTCGTAAAATTCAAAATGCCAATTCTATAGGTCAGACCCCCAAAAATGTATTAAGCACATGGGTAATTAATACATCTTTAATGTCATAAATATTTAGGATATAGGCATCCTTAACATGTTCATTTAAATTTTTGTCTTTTTTTCAACTGTTTTGCTGTGTTTTTACAAAATAAAAAATAACGGTTGTCAAGTCAGTCACAATTAAGTAATCATAATTAGTCACCACAAGTCACAAAAAGCCACTACAGGCTAAACTTGACTGTAAAGGCATTCCTTCCTCTGTTAGATAGTTCTGACCTGACTTGTGAATTGAATTGTAATTGATCTGTGAATTGACATGTGCTTGACTTAATTAGGATATTGACTTCACATGTGAATTGACATGTGAATTGACATGTGGATTGACATGTGGATTGACTTTACGTGTGAATTGATATGTGGATTGACCAATAAACATGTGAATTGACATGTGGGTTGACTTCACATGTGAATTGACATGTGGATTGACTTCACATATGATTTGACACGTGACAGACTCTTGGATTGACTTGTGGATTCCCTTGAGGATTGACGTGTGAAAAACTGAATTGACTTTTGTACTAATTGAGTGTGAAAATTATTGACATGTGTATTGACTCTTGGATTGACTTGTGGATTCCCTTGAGGATTGACATGTGAATTGCATGACTTTTGTTAGTGTGAAAATTTCAAGTTTAATCTGGCTTAGTCTAAATTGACATGTGATTGATATGTGGATGACTTCCAAGTTCACTTGTGAATTTGTGGGGGTGGGGGGGGGGGGGGGGCAGTGAGTGACCGGAACGGTATCTAAGGAAGAGACAAGGGAAACTTTGACGTGCTGATTGACATGTGATCGACTTGTGGATTGCTATATGAATTGACATCTGAGAATTGACTAATGAATTGAATTTTTAATTGAATTGTAATTCGACTTGTGTTTGATTCTATTTTAATTTGTAAAAAAAAAAAAATGGAACCAACTAAAGTTGTATCCATCATTGAATAAAAATGTTGATGTTCTGATTTGTTGATGTATTACTTAAATTTGTGTCCATCATCTCTCCATTTTGTCACATAGGTTGTTTTCATTTATTAACAGTGGTTTTGAAGGCGGCAGGCATTACATGTACAGGGCCAATACAAGTCCGTACCGTCTGGGCAGTACAGTTTGATTTCATACTGCCTGAATCGGCACATTTATAAGGCCCTTAAACAGCTTCTTGCTGGGCCGGTATACAGACCACGTATGGAGGGGCAGTGGGCCGGTATTGTACAAGCACAGTCCAAAACACTGAGGCCCTATATAGGCCCAGCATACGACCAATTCAGTAAATGATAATGGACCAGAACAGGGCAATTACCGTGTATGTTAATTTTGTTGGTAAAGGACCGTTAGAAGCCCGCTGTGGATTTAGAAGTACTGGACCAATAGTAACCCATTACTGGGCCATAATTGGGGTGATATTATCAAAACGTATGGGTCCTGTTACACGCCAATGTGCAAGTTATAACAGGCCCATTACAGGTTCCCATCACCGGGCCCTTTGAAGTGCCATATACAGGACCACTATTGGGCCAGTTACATAATGTTTGTTGGGTATATATATTATGTTGATTTTGAAGTAAAGTGTTTTCGAGATAATCACAAAAGAAGTTTCTCATATTTTTAAACTGCAAGAAATACTACTTTGCAACAACTTTGTGCAGCAAGAAAACCATCACACGATTCTACGTGAGCTGAAGTTTTACATAAACCCGGTAATAAGACTTTATAAAGCAGTTAATTAGTGGAAATTAATTAGTAAAGATATGTGGCTCTTCGTGATAACGCAAATTCACGTTTCCGACATATTGGCCCTTTCTGTTCAACGTGTATTTCCATAGGCGCGCGTGAGTACGCGCGCGCGCCTGAAAATGTAACAAAGATATGTGGCTCTTCGTGAAAACGCAAATCTCATTTGACCTACTTTTACGTATTTCCGTGCAATGGGTTTTGTACGCGTTCAAAGGGCCAAAATGTATGTGGCTCTTCGTGAAAACTCATAATGCAGTTATCGAGATTTCTGCCCCTTGCAACATTAATGTAACTTAGAAATTAATGATGTTTTGCTTACAGACACATGTCAAAATGGTTAAGTACATTGTTTTATGGCGAAATATTGAAAAAAAAATCAAAATCGAAAAAAATTGTAATTTTGGAGATATGTGGCTCTTCGTGAAAACGGTGACGATATGAGACACCAAGTATATGAGACACCAAATACATTGTAATTTCAACTGTGCAATCAGACATCTAATAGGGGTATCACATTACACAACACCGACTTCCGGCGAGCGCAGCCTTGCTTGGGTGTCGTGTTTCTCAGTGAAGCGCGCCACATGTAATATGAAGTTCAGAAAAGGGGCGAAACCGTACGGTGATCGCTTCAGAAAAACTGCTCTAAAATCGTGTATTGCAGGTTGTCGCAGCTAAATTTGGTACCAAAATGATGCAAACAAGTTGCTCTATTAGAAATAAGTAGACTGTAGGCAGCAATCGACGGCAATCCTTAGTTTCCGTATTGCTGAACACAGGAATCGTAAATTTCATGTCAATTTTGACACAATTGTCAGTATTTATTCATAAAAAACTTCAACAAAAATAAAAACTGATTTAATTTCCTTTAAATATGAACTATAAACTAGAGCCAAGAGAAAATTTAGCTCCGTAGCTCAGTGCAAATTGTCTGATTTTGCTTTATGAAGATTTCTGCAACTATTCACATTTTATGGCCAATTTCTGTGGATTTGCATACCTTTAAGAGGTCATGAAAAGTCAATATACATATTTTTTGCTTAATTTCCCCATAAAATGGTCCGATGGGGTATGAGCAACCTCAAAAGTGTCGAAAAAAATAAAACTAGCAAGGTCACGTTTCACCCTTTTTGGCGCACTTTGGTTTCGGCCTGGCCCACTGTGCGATCCCCTGTGTAAGTCTGACAGTCAGGAAATCATGCTAGCTTGCTATGTCTGTTGTCATGTTTTGTTCTCATGTTTTATGGAAAGAGTTGGCAATGTCAAGTTATGAATCCAAAGTCATATTATAGGTTCCATCGCCTAGATGATTTCAATGATGTAGCTTTTCAGGGGTAGAAGCATGCCTTCAGGCCCACACTGTAGTGTCAGAAGAATTCTATGAAGTGAAGGTTGATGATGGAACTGGAGAGAGACACAATGGCCCAAGAAGGTCAAGGTTGCGTTCAGCTCCACTTTTAAGGAACCATACCTTTGCGACCTTGCATCCCTTTACTGGGATTAGTGATGGTATGTATTGATAGTATTCAAACTATATCGTCTGTCTTTTTTGGCACAATGACGTTTCCAAAAGTTATTACAAGAATTAACTATGAATTTACACCTTCAATGCTGCATACACAAAAAGATATTGAAAGCAGTGCTCAAAATGTATCTGATTTGCCGAGCTTTTGGTGTTGCACACCTTCCTTTGGACAAGCAGCCTGATTCCTGGATGAACACAGGAATGTTCATTCTGCCAGAATAAAATATGCCTAGTTCGAAGATTACTCGCTGCTCCATTCCCGGACACTG